GAAGCCCGGCGCTCGAGACTCACGGCGGGGGGATCCCCTCCCTCGCTCTTCGCTGGAGACGTGGGCCAGATCCCACCGCAGAGTTGCCCTTTTCAGGAAACAAAATGTGAAGGCCTGTGCCCCCCCTCAGTGTGCCAGGGGGTGTTAGCAATAGGTCGCCAGGCCCCCGGGCTCCCCAGGCTTCCGACAGAGCTCAGCCACGACACTGCGGCACTACCCGCTGCGGTGGGAGCCTGTCCCCGCACGCAGCCTCAGCCCGCATCACCCCCTTTACTAAAGAGGGCTCCAGAGGTGAGCCCGGCAGCCACAGGCCAGTAGCCCGACGCAGGCGGACTGGGAGAAACCATAGCGAGGAACAGACTCTCAGACAGGCAATGTGGCTTTTGCAAAGGGAAGTCTGACCTCGCCGGGCTCTTGCGACTGTTGGAGGGACGACAAAGCTGAGCCCAGGCGAACCCAAGGCCACCGAGTACCTGGAGGTTTGGAGACCTCGGAGACCGTCCCTGCCCCGGGCTCTGCAGCAAAGGAAGCTGCATGGGCTAAGAAGGCGGGCAGGGCCTCGCATGGATCCGTACCTGGGGAAAAGCCAGGGCCCCGGGCAGGAACGAGGGGTGAGTTTTCGGAACGGAGAGCAGGAACCGCAAGGGTGTGTGCTGGGGCCAGCGCGGGTCGACCTACCGACCACAGATCGGGACGCCAGGGTAGACCGGACGGCTGCGGCCAATACAAAGTTACTCAGAGCTGCCTGCAGCCACAACGCGGGCGCCTGGGAGCACATCACAATTGCTGAGTGCAAAGGAACGCGTATTGGGAACCGTCATCGGATCGGGCCGAGATTAGCGCTTCCCACTCCCGGCAGAGACCCCATGGGCGACTCTGTGAGAACCACTCAGGGCACAAAGGGCTCAGGAGCCATTAGGAAAGTGATACAGTGTCCTATTGCCGCTGTATAACCCCCCGAGTCCTGCCTGCCGGCCTGGACACCGCCCCTCCCCAACGAGTCAAGCGGAGCTGGGAAAGGTTGGGAGAAGGGGAGCACAGATGTCGTGGTGTCAGAGGGGGCCTGCTTGTCTCACCCCCGCAGCATTTGTTGGGTCCAACCCATCCAAGACAGGATCAAGGGGACAGAGGAGCTTCCATGCAAGAGACAGTAAAAAGACAAGGACTCTCCAAGCTAGCTAAGGGGCATGCAACGGCTACAGAGCCGGGGCTGGGGTGGAGCCAGCAAACCAGGAAGTGCTATTTACCCCTTCACAGAACACTAGAACCAGGGGTCAGCCAATTAAATCAACAGGCAGCCGGTTTAAAAGCACCCAAAGGAAGGGCTTCTTCACCCAGCCCCCCCACCCCACCCCGTGGCTCTGCCAGGCCAAAAGTAGAACTGGGTTCCAAACGCACTGGAGACGTTCCTGGAGGACAGGTCCACCACTGGCTCTTAGCCACGCTGGCCAGGGTCACCGCTCTGGGGGTCCCTTGCCGCTGCCTGCCAGAAGCGCAGACAGGACTCACTGGATAACTGCCCGGTTCTGTCCGCCCTCGGAAGCGCTGGGAAACCAGGAGCCTGCCCTGGACGGAGCTTTGGCCCTTACGGGGGGCTGCTTTCGGCTGGGTTTGGGTCAGCCACGAAAGCCCCGTGCTGGGGCAGAAGCAGAGATGCCGGACTCCTCGCGCTGCCAGGCTGGGGCAGGGCGGCACATCAGCAGGTCTGTGACATCCCAGCTAGGGCCCCACCCCCGAGACACCCCCTGCGCTGCTGCCAGCCCGGGAGCAGCGGGGGGAGACGCCGCTGGGGCTGTGGCACTGAGCAGAGGGGAGAGCAGGGACCACGCCCCCAGGAGGGTTGCCAGGTGTCCGGGACTGACCCGGGCAGTCCAGTATTTGACCTTCCGTCTGGTAAAATGAATTCAGAAAATACCAGACATCTAAAATGCCCGGTATTTTCTAGTTTCCCCGAGGCCCGGCTTGGGTGCCCGACGGGAGGCCGCTTGGGACATACAGTGCAGCTCACGCTGCCTGGGGTGGCGGTAGGGGGGAGAGGCCTGGGAATTAAGGGGGTTGCAACTGCTTTTTTTATTTGCTCAACAGATTTTTTTCCAGGAGTTTTTTGGGGGGGGGCGGGGGTTTGGTATTTTTGGTGAAACCATCTGGCAACCCTAGCCCCCAGCCTCGCCTCAGGGGCCAGAACCATAGAAGCAGCATGCTGGGGATGCATCATGAGGAGACATGACTGGTCTGAGAGACTGAGATCCTACATAAGGCCAGCCGTGGATTGGGGAAGTCTCAGATTCCCCCACCAGCAGGCTCTTGGCAGGCACTAAACCCAGAGCTAAGATGCCAGGCTGGCAGCCCCTGTTTAACCCCTTGTGTGTGGGGGGGCGGAGGGACAGCCCCCATGGCTTAATACTGGTGTAACCACCACTGTTCAGATTTGAGCCTTGGAACTCTGAAAGCTCAGTATAGGCGTCTTTACAGCTTGAGCTACAAAACCAGCTGGCGCTCAGCCTATGCTGCAGAGGTTTCTTGTTCTTATCTACTGCTGTGGCCTTAGTGCCACTGCATGGGACAGTGAACCACACTAGTGCTATGTCTACACTGCTTCCCTCCTGCGTAAGAGGAAATGCAAATGGAGCGCTCATTAGCATATGTCATGTGCTCATTTGCATATTCTCTTCTGATCCTTTTTGCAGAATAGGTTTTTGCACAAAAAACTGCAGTGTAGACAGGACTGTTTTGGGGGGGGGGGGGGAATTTTTTTCACGACACCG